ACGGCCACCAGGGAGGGGACAACTAATACACACCTTACCTGCGAGGGCACACCACCTGCATCATGTTTGACCAGACTCAAAGTAACCGCGCTAACGTATATTTAAAAAAAAGGATCAATCCTTTTCTTCTGCTGGATCGTACAGTAGTATGGAATACGATATCGACTTCGCTACTTATGTCCAATATATTGTATTAAAACTTTCGGATTCTGTTTCACTCAAAGTATTCCACACTTTTTGGGAAGTCGTGTCCGTTGCTTAAGTTGCATAGATATATTCGGTACAATAAAAGCCCCCGAGCAGGGTTGGGCTCGAAACTCAGAGATGGTCAGTCCAGTCGGTCAATGATATTGGTCAATAACCACGCTTCCATCCTCTATGTTGTGTTTAACTGCTGCAAAAAGTCCTAGTCAAGTACAAAGCATCGACACGTGTGACTACTTATCTAACTTTCTCTGCAAAAGTATCTCCCTCCCCGTATAGTCACATTGTCTGTTTAACGTGTTTTTCTACTGTAGGGATTGATCTCTTTATGTGGGCCATACAAACAAGATTTTGAACCCTGCAGGCAGTCTTGATTAGACGTGGTATTGTGTTAAATGTCTCCCTTGTTCGTAGTGGTATTTTTACGTTGATGTTATTATTCAAATCTTCGAATGAGTAAGTACCAACGAGTTAAATATAGACATGTTTACTGTTCTTATCCAAAACTATAGCGTTAACTGTTGCTTAATTGGACACGTTCTGCCCTTGCTGCCAATTGCTTCAAGTAGTACTGTGCTTACCGCCTGAGGTTTATTATATCATTTACCTTGTTTACGTGATATGTTTCTCAAGATGAAGGATTTTTGGTCTATTCAGGCATACTTCGGATTCTCCGGTGTTATGACGCATTATATGCGCCGTCAAAATCTCCCAGCATCTCTTGGAATTTGTTAAATATGAAGTTTATGCATGAGTGTTACTTATGGGTTCTCGGCATTCTACAACAATATAATCTCGCAAACTGGAACAGAATTCAGCATATGAGTCGAGTCGAAAATGTGACCTAGAGATAAGTAAACGCTGCTCAATCTGGCGACCTTGTAGCTGCAAGACAATTATCGCTTGAGAATTTCTATTTCTTACTATATACTTGAGCATCTCGTGTGCGCTCAACTTGCCACTTTTCCGTCGCCCACACAAAACGAAATTAATCGCCGCGGGACTGCTGAAACTGTAGTTCAAATGCAGCAATTTTTTTTTATCTTAGTATGCCGTATAGGCACTTATACTTTCAGTACACTGTCAATTTTATTTTAGTTTTAATTTTTTTATTACTAGCAATGGAGCGGGCTTGCTGTTTACGGCATGCTTGCTGCTTCAGGGTTCTCTGCCATCGCCAGTCCCTTTACGATTTAATCCTCAACCTACGATGCTAGTTATTCACCTACCAACCTCATGAAGGCATGCATTCATTGTTCTGCTTTATAATGCGCCTTGGAATCCCTGCATGTATCCTATCCATGATAGACTATTAACTACCAATGATTGTCTTTGGTCCTTCACTATTTGTTCTTTCTACGCGTCCTGCAAATAACCCCCAAGAGACTTTTCAAAATAGGGTATCTTTCAATTGGCTTTAACAGTTAAACTCATACGTATTCATGGTTAATGTTTGGAGCAATTATTAATTTGTAATACTGACTTTGAAATCACAGGGGTACCCCATCCTATAAAATTTCAACCGTAGTTCAGAAATGTGTTCTTTTCGCTTTTAATAAATTAAGTGGCGTCTCACTATTAAATATATAGCATAATCTGAAGGTATTTGCGTCAGGATGCCGCCTTTTGAGCCAGATCCTTTCTGACCGCCAGCAAAAAGCCTCCTCCGTAAAAATGGCTACCTAAGTAGTATGTTTTTTTCTTATCGCTTTTCGGTGCCCCATAAATCCAAATATATTTTTTAAGCAAACAACTTTCTTCGATTCGTTCTGGTAGCAACCTAGTCTTCTGGACAGGAAGGATGCCTTTCGGTTTTGAAATCCTTCTTACTTTCCGAATAATTTGAATTCTGCTGGCCATCAAATTTGAATTCAAGGCTTGCAAATAATATGCTGTATACATTCCATCTACGGAAAACCACACATTTCCCTACGGTATGAAGAAGAGATCAATGGATGTAGATGATTTTGTATTATTTGAAAGGCAAGACGATTTATAAATTAACAGATGCGATGAACATTTCACAGTCGTCAAAATCTCAAAATTCAGTTAACCCAGTTATGGGAAATTTGGAGGCCTCGGTGGGATTCGAACCAATGCCAGAAAGGGAAGGCTTGAGTATGGTCAGCGCTCTAGGCAACTGACCTGCCGAGGCTCAGCACAGCCGTGGTGGATTCCATACATTGCAGTAGGCTAAGCGGGTAAATCGACCCAAATGTGATTAAATTCACGGCTGCGGTGGAGTCTCGTCGACTCAGTTGGCTAAAGCATTGGCTGTGCTCAGGCCTTCCCACTTGCTGGCGTGGGTGTGAATTCCACCGAGGCCGCCAACACTTCTACAATTGGGTCAATTTAATTATGCAAATCTGTCAAACCCCTTTTAATAATTTCTGTGCCTGGTAGTCATCTGGTGGAGTCTAGTTTAATTGCTTAGGAAATCCTGCTTGGACAGTAGTCAACTTACTGTATCAGAATTGGTAGGTTCCATGCGTTGCGGTAGGCTATGTGGGTAAATAAACCCAAGTGAGCTTTAATCCACGGTTACCGGTGTGGCCTCGATAGCTCAGTTGGCTACAACGCTGGCTATAGCCAACGTGGGTAGGTTCGTGGCGGAGGTTCGAATTCCACCGCTGAAGGTTTTACAAATGGGTCAATTGAATTACTCAAATCTGCCAAACCCCAACTACTACCCCAAAAATTGGCAAATTGATAACCGGAAGATACGCTCTCTTTAAGCATATCCTTTGAAGGAGGCATGATTTGCTACCAGATGAGTACAAAAGAAAAAATAATTTTGTATATGTTTTATAAGCAATATATTTTTTATTTATAAGGACAGTTAAAGTCAAAGACAAAATTGCATACAATAGATGCAGCCGTGTGTTATAGAATATGTTTTTTGCAAGTGTCTGATAAACAGTTGTTTAAGATCGGACATCTTGACATGTCTCACACATTTTCGGCATTAAGCTGTACAATAATCAGCATTTAAATTTTACTTAAGTAATTTGCTCGAACCTAAAACATTTTTCGGACTTACGGTTGATCTTTCATGAAAATGGCAATCTACTGTACGAATCCCTACTGCAAAATACTGTTCAGCTCGGAACAGTCCCAAGTCCACGATTCACTTCCGTTGGTGGAAATGCACTTGTTGACTTTCTCAATTACATAGCAGCATGCCCATTTTAATTTGGGCTGGTATAGTCCTCTTATTTTTCACCATATTGCTTTCTACCTGCTCGAAAAACTGAAAGGATGCGGTTTTGTTCTTGTATTATCTGACTAAGCCGTTATTTTTCTCTGCCTAGGGTGTCATTACGACTGTTGGGTCGACGCCTTTCCCCGCGATGCACACCTACCGACTGAGTATTCGAGTGGTCGACCGAAATTCTGCCCTTCCGGCAAAGAGCTTCGCTGACATGCAACTCCTCGTTTACACTTACTTCCAACCCGTCCAGTTTCCTCTTTCCGTCTTCACCGTCAACTTCTCCGAGAAACTTCCCGCTGAAACAACGTGAGCTCATATTGTCTACTATTTGACTTTTTAAATGTTTCTACTTTGTTTGGATTCTGCCTGATACGAAAAAAACAAACGCACATCTTGTGGCATGAATGTATTGGCCTTCATTATTAGCAGAAAACAGGCTACTTGCAATATTCATAGAAATGCATGAAACGTTTGCTTGCTTCATGTGTCATGAGTCTTGAAACTTGAGAGCATTGCTTTCGAGTTTTACATTGTCTATTGGCATTGGACATATGTTCGAATTTCTTAAGGATGCTTAATCTCGTTTACCAGTTTCAAAAATCTCCCAAAGCCATGCTTCTAAAAAACATCTTATATTGGTTGTGGGTATTGTCACAGTTTTTTAATGCTACTATAAACACAGGTCGATTGAATGCAAGTATTCCTCGAACGCGAATTATTTTATTCTTTCCATATAATTATTGCAACGTAGTAAATTAAAACAGAACTAGTTATAATTTCAATAGTATTAGCACGTAGGTTAGTTTTTAAAACACGTCCAGCGTTGACATGATTTCTTGTTATTTCCAACCGATCACCTTTGCTTTTTGTGACGCAGATAAGCATCTTCTTTCGCATTAGTAGCTGGGTTTTTGTTTCTAGAATTCTACAACAGAACAGTTGTTCCACACAGATTAACTTTCAGCTCTTCCCCAATATCGGTTGTAGTAGAGTAGAGACTGTCCCGGGAAGATTCAGAGCCTGCTCCTGTTGGTTTGATTAGTTGGTCCTTTTGGTGAGTTGGGTTCAGATCTAACTAGGGGCAATGCCAAAATGCAAATAGACTGTCAGTCAGAAGGATTGAGGCAAATGAGCGCCATTAATGCAGCATGGACAGCATACAAAAGAAAGAACAGCAGAGGCCAGGCCGCAAGTCAAAGTTGGCTGTTTTGTTTATTTGTGAGTTCTTCCAAACGAGCGCACAGGAAACGTCCGATGAACAGGAAAGCGCAAAAATAGAAATTGCATAATGCCCTGCAGGTCATAACGACTCTAAACTCTCATCTTTACCTTTGCGATCTTGACTATTGTGGTCAGATGCTCTATAAGCGAACCAGGAGGCCTCAGTGCTAAGCCAGACGGTAAGTACCAATGTTGTTTCCACAACCAGACCAAAACGGACACCACTCCTAAAGGACATTAAATATTGTTTCACAACGAGCATCCGTATTCAAGTCGCGCACCAAGAGTCCTTCCATCATTTAGTTGAACTATCTATGGGTGATGAGGTACGGCAATTCCGATCTCCCTGATTTCTACTGGGGCACCTATAGCTTATCAACTGCCCCTGACTATGTACCTGTTCTGTCTAAAAGAAACATCAAGCCAGCATGATGAATGCCACTTCCACATCTTTTCGCATTACTTCAAGGCTGTCACTGGTTGAAGATGGTTTTCGGAGCTGACTCACGTCGGTAATGGCGAGTCAAGCACGTCTATCTTGTTGGGCCACACCCTGCCGATGATTATCTCGCCTATGATAGACCGAAGAAGCACGCAGTGCGCACACACACGCACACGGACAAACGATGGCAAAATGTTTGCTTAAGCAGTCAAGCACGCGCGAGTCGCCGTCACTCTTAGACGGCGACCCATTCTCCAGTCAGTAATTA